AACAGACATTTCCTAATACTAAAATTTAAACATTCAATTTCACAACAGACAATAAAATATAAAATATACAATAATATAAAATATACAATACTTATGGTAGTGCAAAAAGGCAGATGGATTCAAATTAAAAACTAAAACCTGTAACAGAAACAGTAGCAGGACGACAGTCTCTGATCCTCTGAGTCCCTGCAGGCTCCAGACAGCTGCCCCTACAGCTGACCTCTGACCTCTGACCTCTCAGTGGAGGCAGATCATCATTCACATTATTAATGAAGTCTCTGCAGGCTCAGCTCTTATGTAGGAGAGTCTTTATTTCACCAGCAGGGGGAAGCATCACACAACAGAGCTCAGTGTGAGAGTACGTCTGCTTCCTGTACTGGTTCCTGTATGTGTTATAATTATTATATTATATAATATAATATAATATAATTTTATATATATAATTATAATATATATGTCAGAATGGACTGATTCCCCTTCTTGTTCCAGGATTTATGTTCAGAATCGAACACCTTGAGTTTGATATTTAAAGACATTTTTAATTGAATGTGTTAATATTAAAACCTTTTTATATATAATCAGGGTTCTGATTCAGTCTGTAGCGTTTGCTGTTGCCACAGATCAATACATCGGTACATACGGGCATATCGGAGACATATCGGTACTGTTTTGGCGTACATGTCATCCAGTATGAACCGATATTTATTCATATGTAACGTAAAAGGTCTTGTAGTTTTTACAGTACTGATGTATTTATTTATTCTTTAATAAAGTTATTTGTTTAATAAAGCAGTTCTGAGTACCTTTGCAGCGGCCTATTTTGATTCCAGCTCAATAATTATTATTATATATTGATAATCTCTCTAAAATTGGTATCAGTACAAAATAAAACATGTTATATATGTTTTCTAACTTGCTTAGACCACTCTGTTTGTTTCATTTTGAATTGTTTGATTTTGTTTCTGCAGCAGATATGTTATAAAATCTAAAGAGAGAATTAAAAATAACAACATATTTTCATGCTTCCTGCAGCAAAAGGAGGCTTTCATCATTTCACAACTGAACGCAAAAGGCCTGACTGTGCGTGACGAGCAAGGTGAGCTTCTCTGCATAAGTGTTTAATGTCTCACTCGCAGGTTAAGACTCTGGTGCACAGCAAACACTCTCCGGTGCAAAGGCTTTACTCAGAAAAGAAGATTAAACTCTTGAATATGATTAAAAACTCATAACACGTGTCAGAAGATGTTAGAAATGAAGCCTGACAGACTTAAGACTGACAAAGCCACAGTGAGCTGGAGGGATTTTATGTAGCAGCTGGTGATTTAAATAGGAAACGTATCTTAATGAGAATATAATGTTTGTCTCCTCGCTCCCCCTCAGGACGACGGAGGACCCTGAACAGCGAAGAAATGGCCGTGTTTTACAAAAGCTTCTTGGACACAAACCGAGTACGACATGCAAATTATAACAAGTGAGTTGTTTTGCAGCTGGGTGTCTCCCACCGGTGCCGCCGGGGAGGGTGGGAACACGTCCCTCCGCGGGGAGCTGTGGGCTTCGACCGACGCTGGTGTATACTGTACCTTGTGTAAAGGGAACAACAAACATCGCCGGCTTTGAAGAGCTTTCTGTGAATTAGCATTTTATAATAACATAGCTTTTAGGTTTCCAGCCCGCACACATCAGCTCTGCTTTTAGGTTTTTATTTTCAGTGAGTTTTAAACTCTTGTTGTCTCAGGTGAGAGTAAATCTAAAGGGAATAACAACTTGTCTTCTCCCCAGGTGTTACTGCTTTCTTGGCTCAGTTCATTTATAATCTGCATACTGTACAAACGAGCCACCGGCACAACAAACCTTTTATTTCTTTTTTTAATCCTACACGGGGAGGTCAGAGGGATTCAGGAGGAAGAAATATGATGAAAATGAGCCTGATGAAGATCTATATTCAATAAACTTTTAGTTCTATACTGTCTTTTATACTTGAAGAACAATAAAATATATTGCCAAAATCAAGAAATTTAAAATGAATTAATGAATCCTTATATTTGTCGTACTAGTTGAGCATTATTTGGGATTTAAAACCGTCTCTGTGTCCTTTGTATTACTAATATTTCACAGTTAATGATAATAATTTACATAAGAACCAGAATAATGCTCATCAATGGAAGCAGAGATGAAGAAAACCCCACCCAAAAAGTTAAATACAATTGAAATTAACTGCAACTAACTAAAGGACATTTTTAGTCATTCATTAATCTCTTAATTATATATTTATTAGTAGCATATATGAGTGTATAAAGTGCAGGTAGTGGCGAAAAGTTCCCTTACAATCACTAGAACCTGAAATCTTTTTGTCCAAAATATAAAATCTAACAAAAAAGCAAAAACAAACCTTTTATTTCTTTGTCCTGTGCCGTGAAATATGGCTGTTAATCTACATTTATTCCCACGTTTTGAAGTATTTGTTCATGTTTTTAAGGTTAGCAGCTACTGTAGCTCGAGCTTTGACGGTCACTAGAAGCACATTCATGGCCGTTTGGAAAAGCTTCTGTGTGGTTCTCGTGTTGTAACATTAGTTAAGCTCGAGGCTCAGAGAAGATAATTCTCCAGTGTCCGTGGGGAAAGTGGGGGGGATTGGTTGTGACCAAAGCTGCCACCACATTCGTCCCTTCAGCCAATAGTGAAATTAATTTGTAATAGCAGGTTTCAACCAGTAGAGGGCCGTCATTGTTCATATTTACATTCAAATTTGCACTAAAATGTCAAAATTTGGACCTGAATCAGTTTCCAGCTGTAAATATTGGTATATGATGTCACCATTAGATGAAATACTATAAAATGTTTTGTATTTGGAGGAAAAATCATAATATAACCCGATATAAGAAGATCTGTACCATGTGTTGATGTCGTATTTACGCAGCACAATGTTTAAGTACAATATTGTGTAATATCCAGTGTGAGATCCCACGAAAGCAGTGAAATTATACATCTGTGGGGGTTGTTAATACGTTATTAGCATATTAATCATAAATAATGTATTTCTCAGTGTGATGATTATTATTTCTCTGCTTTCATATGACACCAAAAAGGTGATAGTGTCCACAGATTGTTAGTCCAAAAGAGTTTAAGTGCGAGTAAACAGGAATATTCTGATATAATAATCAGGTTTTTACACTCTTCTCTCTCTCTTTTCCCTCCTCTTCACGTCCAGCGAATGGTACCGGCGAAACTTCACCATCACTCTGCTCATGGCCCGAGTCGCCCTCAACAACATGTGGAAGACGGTTACTGATCGACGCAGCGGCAAGAAAAACAACCTCCAACCTCCTGATGAGAAATAAAACATTCAGCCACACTCCCGTCTTTGTTTTAAACTGCTGTTTTATCTGATCTGATGGGAGATTTGTCTCTTTTCTGCTTCTATTTCTGGTGCGTGGTTGACTCGATCAGATCCCCCCTCAGCTCCTGAAATATGTTCACGCCGCTCGCTTGAAGACAAAGAAGAAGATGAGCTGTTGATTTGATTTATTTAGTCTCTTCGTCTTTTCTTAGAATCGCATTACGTTGAAAAACAGTCAGAAATCTGAAGGAGCTTCACATCAGCAGAAAATTAAACATCAATTAAATAAATGGAGCTAGGCTGCACTTCATGTCTAACAACCAGTCTGCATTTACTGGATGCTCAGGATCTCTGATTAATTCAGTAATTGATTTGTGTTTTTAACTTTATCTTGTAGCTGCGTTGCATTAATATCTGCAGACAGCAGAGAAACTGACAATATATCTTAAATGAAGGTTTAAATTCAGGACTTTTACTTAAGGAATATTTCCTCCACTGCTGCTTTAAATAGACTGAGGCAGATTAATAGTTTTAATACACAAAATGTCACAGTAGCTCATAAAATATGGCCAAAACAAGTAATTGATTAATTGACAGTATATACAATATGCATTGCATGGGTCGATGTGTTTGAGTGATGATATTTATGTTTTAAATGATCATTTTTGAGGAATAAGACTCCAGTTTTTACGTTGCTCTTAATGTACATACACAGAAATGAATACACATAAATAAAATAGACATAATAAGCTATTTAAAGTTATATATTTATATATATAAACAAAACAAGACAGTAGAAAATGATGCAGAGTGCAAACGATGCTGGAATAAACACTTACATGCAGGTTTCTTTATGTACATGAGGTAGGTCAGTGATGTTAATAGATGTTTTTAAAAAATAAACTTAATTTCATCAATGAAAAAAGTAAACAAATAGTAAACAGTTTACAGGTAAAGCAGACATTAGAGTCACAGATTTATTATTAAGCAATCCACTACTAAAACACTTACACTGCACACCAACCAAACCACAGAAACCAGCAGCATTATCAGCATCGATAACCAGAGTAATCAATAAATCTGGCTGCTCCACTTCGACCCGCAGCTTCCGCTTTAATCCGATGACATCATGGCAGAGGGAGGGGGCGGGGCTTCGGGGTAACGCCATTTTCACGCAGCCGGACTCGGACCCGCGGGGGAGAGCTGTCATCTTCTTCCTCGGCTCCCTCCTCTCTCTTCATGAAGCCGCTCTCCAGTTAGCAGTTCAGCCATGGAAGCAGCGGAGGACCGGCTCTTCTACTCCTCCCGCGGCTCCGATTAAAAACCAAACATTAAAAAGAGTCGGCGGGTTTTAAAAGCTAGGCGGCTAACTATGTAGCAGGCTGGTCATCATTAACGGCGGGTTGATGCAGTGACGCTCCAACGGCTCCAACGGCAACAACACACTGGAAATCGTGCTTTTGTTTTGTAATAACTTAATATATTTTAATACGTATCGACACTTGCTGTCGGTGAAAGGAAGGACACACCTCTGTCTTTTAAAAAAATAAAAGATAAAAGGGGGGAAAAGCGGAGGAGGAGGAGGAGGACGAGCGTTACAAGTCAAGCTACATCGGCAACGGATGTCCTAGAGAACGGTAGGAATGGCTCCGTGTATCTCCTGGAACCCCTCATTAGCTAATCAACCACTTACTAAATAAAAAATGTGTTTCTTCTTGTGTCACTGCGTCAAACCGCAACTTTGCGTTATTAATGTTATATAATTTTTAAAAGTATTGCCTCCCCCCCTTTCTTTTTAAAAAAATGTGGTGGGTTGTTTACGTTGACTGCAGGAATTAGACGCCACCGGTGAGCACATGAACTGTCAGTGAGAGGCGCTAGCTCGGAGTTGGCAGCGGGGAAAGGTATGGTGAACTGGTTCTTCAGGTTAATCCGTGTGTTAGGTTGAGGTAGCCAGGACAAAAGACAGTGCTGATGTTGAATTGTGTTGTGGTAAGAGAGCTTTCATTGATATTCAGAGCAGGGAGCTGAGAGCTGCGAAGAGCTGCCTGTGTGGAGCTGACAGCTTCAGAGGAGACAGTGGAGCTCAGTGTGGGACCCACAGCTGGAGGATCTGAAGACCAGGGACAGCAACACACACACAAACACACTTACTGTAGGCTGTGCAGGTAATGTCACTGTGGACGAGTGTAGTATCTGATGAGAGAAGCTGTAAATGTGTGATTAAACAGCATTATATCACAGTTCTGCAGTTCGCTGACCTCCAGGTTCAACAAAACACCTTCGTTTGGTGCGTCTTTATTTTAATTTGTAATGCAAACATGAGCATTCCCACTAATCGTGAATAGTTGAGATTAAAAGACAGACAAACTGGAACAGGACGGGGTTCCTACACGTCCTGGGAAACCTGGAAAACCTTGAACTTTAGAGACTAGTCCAAACTGGAGCTGCACGATATAGTAAAAACATCATATTGTGATTCATTCATTTTCATTTTCACTGAAAAAACAATAAAATCCCGGTGAAGTGGCGTCTGTAGCAAACAATCACGTTCTGTTAAATCTGGAGAGCAGGATGTGTAGACTCTCTAAAGCTCTTCATTATAATAATGTTTATTCACACATTTTATCTGGTTCCTGCGGTTAAATAATTGCCGCGTGCGTTGCAGTTTCAGTATTTTGACTTAAAAAACTGATTAAAATGACCAAATATCCTGGAAATAATCTTCGTCGTCCTGGAATTGTTTAATAACATTTTAGCCTGTGCTGTGGCCAAACGAACGCTGACTGAATCTGTAGTTTACTCTGCTGCTCTGTAATGTTTAACCCACCCACAGGAGCACAACCTGCAGGGCTCCTCCTCCCCCAGGCTGACCCCCCCTCTGCCCTCCTGAGACGGCTTGTTGTTGGTTCAGAGCTCCCAGAGGTTTTGAGTGTCGACCCTTTTTATAGAGTTCTTTCTCTGCTGGTGGGAAATGATAATTATGTGTTGTCACAGCAGATTTTTGTTGTAATGCTGCAGGTGAAGCATAGAAAGCAGCAGAAACTAAAACACGATGCCCGATTAAACCCGACACTTTCGCTTTACTGGTGTGATTTGTAGTTTTACACTTTCTAGACGGCATTAAGAGGCTGAAACACAACGTTTAAGAGTTTTAAAAATGTATTAAACTATATTCTTAACCAACACATGAAGGTTATTATAACAGTTTTAGAGAGGTGCTGACTCACCTTTGTGGTCTTTTTGGAGGCTTTAGTTTGTGCTGCTGTTTAAAGCGGACAGACTTTTATCAATTTGTTGATGATTGAAAATGATTCAGCAACTATTTTGATAATTATTTAATCGTCTTTAGTCATTTATTAAACAAAACAGACAGAAAATCCTGGTTTTAACTTGTCAAACGACTGTGGGACGGTTGGTCTGATAAAACATTGTGGTTTTTAGGAAATTATTTTTCACTATATTCTGATGTTTTATAGAACAAACAAGCATTAGAAACATCTCTCAGTATAACAACAAACTACATCCGCCACCTTTTTAAAACAGCTGAACTTTATAACCTTGAAGGATTTATTACAGAGCGGTTTTATTAGGCCCCGTCAGTTTGAGCTAGGTGTATTTAATAAATGTCAACGAGGACATAAATGATGCTGAGAGATGAGTTTTACATTTAGTGGAAGTTATATAAGAAAGCACTGAACCTAAACACACATTAAACATCCTGAACAGGAGAGAAATGTTCCTTCACACACTTTGGATCCTCAGTGAAATATTAAACACATAAGTTATTGCTGAGGTTTCACCTGGAAGCTCTTGTTCTTGTTCCAGAGAAACTTTCTCTATTTCAAACTGAATTTCTGTCAAACCAATAGTCAGCCATCACGTCCCCCGCGGTGAGATCGACACTGTCGTATGTCAATCAGACAGCCAGCTCTTTCATAATGCCTCTGGTGTAAGCCGAACATTGTGAAACGATGCTATTCAGCTGTGAGAAATGTCTGTTAGAGACACAGAAAATGGAAATCAGGGGGAACTCATGCGGACTGCGAGACCCAGTTTTTGGTAACGCACTCTTTAAACCTGAAACTTAATCTGTGGAGAGTCTGAAGTTATAGATCAAAGTCACAGTCTGTAAAGGATCCCGTATATTCTCTCTGTGTGTCTCAGCCTTCGGGGGGCTGCAGCATCGAGCGGTGCCACTACTGTCTCTGTACATCAGTGCATCCTGAAACTACTTCACTGATTCAGATGATACATTTAATCTCTCGCCCAGAGCCCACTCAGAGAAATAAAAAATAAAAACCCACTGGTGCTCTTGTCATGTGAGGAAGTGAGCCTGCGACTCAGTTTAGAGGTGACGACATAGTTTAACAGCAGCAGATTAATTCACATAAACTATTAGAATAAATAGAAGTGTTCCTCCTCACACACGGGACCAAATCTGTCCCATTATACCAATCTTACTCGTCCCATCCTGTGTCTCAGCTGTACCGTGTCCTGTCCCGTGACTCCCTGATTTAACCCTTTTCTCAGCCTGTTAATGTCGTCACATGATACACTAGTGTTGATTGTTTACTGAGGCTGATGTTCTGTAGGAATAGTAATATCAAAGACTGTAACATGTGAAGGATCCTTTTAAAAGCAGCTTTAATCAATCAATTTCTGCGATAACGCTCAGATAAATCCACTTTACTCTACCAAATGGTGCACGGGCAACGTTAGAGACTATAAGGGGGAAGGAAGTGGAATATTTAGCTGTGAAAAAGGCAAAACAAAGCTAAAAGGAGAGTTTTCATGTGATTTCAGTGACGTGTGAAGAGATGGAGGAAAGTCTGTGCCGTGTTTAAACAATATTCTGAGAGAAAGGTACAAACTGAATATCTGGTGTCAAAGGCTGCCGTTCTCTTCACCAGACTGCTTTTTACCTCGCAGAACACAGGTTGTTTGTTTAGTTAGTGTGACTTTAGTGATCCAAACTAAGAGATATTCTGGATATAGTGTACTTACACTGATATAGAT